GGGGCGCGAGACGACGCGACGGCGATGGCGACGGCGACACGACAGCGACGGCGACAGCGCGCAGCGCGCGGCGCGGCAGACGGCAGCGGCGCGGGGCGCAAGGCGGCAGCGGCGCGGGGCTCGGGGCGATGTGACAGCAAGCAGCGCGGCGCGAGGCAAGAGGTGACGCGACAGCAACGGCGACGGCGACGCGACGGCGACGGCGACGCGACGGCGACGGCGACGCGACGGCGACGGCGCGCGGCAGCGGCGGCGTCGGCGCATGGCAGCGGCGGGTTAGGGCAAGAGAACGCGATCGAACACTTACGGCGCAATGAACAGTGAATTTTCCTTTTTAACCCCATTTTAGCCCATTTATTATTTAAATTTGATTCTATAATTCCTAAATTTTGCATAAATAAAGTATACTCAACATTTGTTTTATTCCAACCAATGGATTCATTCTAGATTAATTTATTCCATATTTTATTTATTTCTTTCCTCTCACAATCCTTATTTCAAATTATAATTTAATTATTCCTTTAACCAATCTAATTTCAGGGTTTATTCCTAATTAACTATTCTTTATTCGTGATCTATGAACTCCGAAATCAAAATCCAATAAAAATAGTTGAACAAAATCGGCATGATCCAATTTATTTAAAAAGTTTTTGAAGGCCCATATTTTTAGAGTCTTGATTTTTGTCGGTCAAATTTTCAGCATGTTACATCATGACATCATCATCCCCTTTTTTCCAATTTATTTTAATAGATTAATTAGATTAAAACTTCGGAAAATCATAACTAAATAACCGTAGCTCTGTTTCAGGTGGTTCAAGTTGCTCAATTTTTCTAAAATTGAGATCTACATGTTAAAAATATCCACATGTACTGTTTATGCTTGTTTTTGTACTGTTTTGTTGATTTTGTTTATTTGCTTTAGTTTCCGACGTTCCGGAGGAGAGTGTTTCCGTTGAGGAAGGTTCCGAAGCGTTTGCGGAAGCTCAAGGCAAGTCACACAGATCCCAAACAACCCTTTGAGCTTGTTGAACCCGTTTAAAGCTATTGTTTTATTTCAACTTATGCATTCTTTTCGAATGTCATCGGGTGGTGAGCCTTTCCCAATTAATTAATGGCCGAAGATGACTTTATTTTCCTATGGGTTATAATTTGATTAGCGTGAACCTTATATATTGGATTGGTTCAGCTAAATGTCATATGTATTTTGCTTAGCCATGCTTAGAAACATTAGCTAACTAAAGGGGTTAAATATAAATTATATTATATTATTCTTATTAATTATGGTTATATTTAATGGTAGCTCACGATGGTTAATCGTGTTATGATAATTACTTGATAATTAAAACTTGTCAAAGGTGGATTGTGAGCACATGGTTTTGAAGGTCGTGCTCATGACAATTAAGGACCGGTTCGCGAGCTACTGTTGTAAAACATTTACCGTGCCAACCACAAGCCAGCGTGGGCAACGGCTTTATCTTTTGTATAGCATAATTCATTATAGTGTGCCAGACTGTGAAGCGGCGAGAAGTCCGTGGGGGTCGCTGGGGAGTCCATTGCCTCTGGTTTTGAGGGGGAGATTATGATCCAGGAACGGTGCACTGTGGTGAGTTGTGTTGTGCGAGGGGTATTGTCACAGTTCCTTTCCGAGGTACCGTGGTGGTGCTGAGGCGCATGGTGACATGTTGTGGGATTGTGTCTTGTGGGTACAGTGGTACACCTCTGATCAGAGTAAAACTATTCGAATAGCCATACCCGCGGTTATGGGTGAGTTGAGCAATGTTTTTCGTGATTAGTCCCATATTATCCATTAATGGTAATTGTGATAATTAATTTGACTCCTGGTTTGGAATGGTATATTCCTGGTATGGATGTTTGATTTGTACAACCGGGGTTGGTTGTTCAAATGAGGTTGGGTCTATGCAACACGGGTGTGTTGTATGGTGTTTATTTAATATTGATTAGTTATTCAACTGTTTTACTATTCTCTTAAATATTTATTAAATGCTGTTTATGCAAATGAGCTTTATTATGCCATCCTTTGTTATCCCGTGCACTTGCATATTTGCTGTGTGACTTGTTGAGTATGTCATATGCTCATTCTTGCAATATTCAATCATCAGAAGAGGAGTACTTCAGCGAAGGTGATGACCTGGAGGATTAGGCTTGTTCCTGGTTAAGATGCCTGTGGAGTAGAGTCGCCATAGCTGTTCCGTAGTTTGCTTTAGTTTTATTTTCCGCTGCGTAGAATGTTATTCTTTGAGAGGAACTATCTACCTCTGTAATGATTCATTATTTGCGAATATTAAATAGTTATTTATTTGTACTCTATTATCAATTTGTTATTGTGTGTCTCGGCTGATTCCTGGACGAGGGTTTAACACACATGTAAGCGTTTGGAATTTTGGATAGAAATTCCGGGCGTGACAATTGATGCCCTATTTTTTTTTCAAGTGTAAAATCCCGGTTCACGAAGATTTTTGTGTTTCTTGTAACTGAGATTGTCATTTTCTTAAGGCATGTGTTTTATATGCTTGGCCCTTTTAATTTCATATTCCAATGTCCTGTATTGATGCCCTTTTTTTTCAAGTGTAAAATCCCGGTTCACGAAGATTTTTGTGTTTCTTGTAACTGAGATTGTCATTTTCTTAAGGCATGTGTTTTCTATGCTTGGCCCTTTTAATTTCATATGCTTGCCTAGATTTATGATTAGCCTAATGGAGTATTTTCTTAATATGTTTGATGAAATAAATCAACAGGGTTATATATCATTTTGGGATGTCATGCAAGGTGCCGTCATATGTTGAATGGATTTATAGATATCATTTCGTAAGATGTGTCTGGATATATAATAGACATCGTTTTGTTATTATTGGCTGAATGCCATATTGAGATAAAAATCTTGGGCTTGGAGATATACCATGTGCCAAACGTGACATATATGATATATGAGTAAATTTCACAAAACTACATATACTATGGCCAAACTATCACAAAACTACAGATTTAAGGAGTTGTATCACAAAACTACACATTTAGCACTAAATTTATCACAAAACTACACATTTAAGATGAAATGTCACCAAACTACACGTTTAGTAACTAAATTATCATAAAACTACAGGTTTGGAACCAATTTAATCACAAAGTAATAATGTTTATAGCTCCACCATAACAATGGTGCTAGGGATTTAAACTCCAAAAGTTGTAGTTTTGTGATAAGTTCAATATTAAATATGCATTTTTGTGATACTTAACCTAAAATCTGTAGTTTTGTGATAAATTTGGTGCTAAATGTGTAGTTTTATGATACAACTTCTTAAATCTGTAGTTTTGTGATAATTTAATCAAAATACCTGTAGTTTGTGAAAATTACTCATGATATATAGATATATCATACAAATATGTGTAGATTAGACTTCGTCACATGACATGAGGTTCTGTTAGTACAGCAGCAAAAGGGCAATTTTGGAACCATAAAAAGTGCCTAAGACTTATTGTGTACCTATCCCATCTCTTCTCTCTATAATAAGGCTGTGTTCTTTCAGGGGAGACAGGGGAGATTGTCTCTCGTTTTCCGCGCGCACGCTTTTCAAACTATTAAACGGTGTGTTTTTTGCAAAAATTTTCTATAGGAAAGTTGCTTTAAAAATTCATATTAATCCATTTTTGAAGTTTAAAATAGGTAATACTCAATTAATCATGTGCTAATAGCTCACCTCGTTTTGCGTATCTTCAATCTTCTCTATCTCCTTCTCCTCAAACACAGGCTAAATATCCATTTGGTCAAATGAAGGTACTTTCCAGCACAAAATCTTAGCAAGCACCAACGACGGTGTAGATTTTGGGTGCAGGTGCACTTTGGTTCATCTCTCTCTCTCTCTCTCTCTCTCTCTCTCTCTCTCTATATATATATATATATATATATATATATATATATATATATATATATATTCCCGCAGCAAAGCGTGAGGAATTACCTGGTTGTATATATGAGTGAAGACACGTTGAACAAGAGTTACTGCAAACTTGTCATAAGAATATATTTTTCCCTAGGTTGTTTGTGTATGGGACCGACAGGTCATAACTAAAATACTGCCTAATATAAGCGAAATTTTGTTTCTAATTGTTTGAAGCTGTCCGCTAATTTTAATATTTTTTTAGAAAAACATTTCAGACTAAGACTATATATATTTACATGTCATCACCACATCACCGAAACTAATCCAAATCCTTTCCAATGTAGAAAAAAAAATTATTGGATTTTGATAGCTTAGGGTTGAAGAGACTCCACCCTTAAAATATCTTGAGTTTTTTTACTCCCGCGAAAATCGAGGTTATAAATAGACTTTAGTTATAAGTTAATTGGACTTTATAACTTCTTAAATATATTTATGAGGTTTTGATACGACGTACTACCTCCATTTCAAATTTATAGCGTCAATGATTTTTCGCATAACATTTAACATCATCTTATTAAGAAAATAGTAAAAATTAATACATTAATTTCTTTGATGGTAAGATGAGTCACAACGAAATAAATGATATTTATTTCTTTTATTAAGATAGATGGTGAAATGTTATACGAAAAATCAACAGCGTCGTAAAGGAAGTAGCTTTCAGATTTTTCCTTAGGGGCGCAAATCACTACAGGCTGATCATGGTAGTAAAGTCCACAACTCCACATCCCAGGTCTTAATTAAGCTAAGTCAGTCCACACAATGGTCTACTTGGTAACGGTCAACACTTAATTAACAGACAAGTGCTACTGGGGACAATGATAGAGGAACCAATCGTACACACTGGCGCATACAAGCTTCCTACTTTGACAAGTACGTGATTAATTATTTTGGCTTGAACTGTCATATTCTTACCATAGATATTACCTTTTTCCCCTAAAAAAAAGATATTACCTTTTAGTTCGGCAATTTTGATGTGTGCCGTTCTTTATTACTACGTGTTAGAAGTTAAAAAAACCCTTATGTATATTTGTAATGTAAACAGTATAAAGGTGGTGTTCATGGTCCATACATTTCTGAAAGCTAGGATAGTCTGACCACCAACAGAAAGGAAAAGAACATGAATCTCCTCTGTGCAATAGCAATACTCCCGGTGATTCTTGTGGCCTTACTAGATACTATACCGCTGGCAAGTGCATCGTCTCTGATGAATCACAGCCAGCCATCCATGGCAACGCTCGCGAGCTGCCCCAAGAGTTGTGGGCAGATGAGCATCCACTACCCCTTCGGAATCGGAGCAGGCTGCTTCCGTCAGCCTGACTTCAACCTCATCTGCGACAACTCCACTCAGCCCCCAAAGCTCCTCTTGCATGACGGCGTAACCGAGATCATCGGGGATACAGATTCCAGTTTTGACATGGACGTGGGCTCAACGGAGTCAATCGATGTCAACATTTCCTCCACCATCCCTATGCTATCTAGCATCTCTCATTACAACTATTCTTGGAATCTCAGTTCTTTTTCTATCGAATATGTTATTCTGAACATTACTGGGTGCAACTTCGACACATATATCATTAACCCCGACACCGATATTCGCACAAGGATCTGCAGGAACAGTTGCCCCAAGGAAGAAATCACAGAAGCAGTGGCTCGACAAAGCTGTAATGGTACTGGATGCTGCACATATGATATTTACGGTGTTGCTAACTTGCAGCTCAGTTTCGTCCGTGGGGATGAAGGTTTACTTGGAGGGAACTCTAGTCGAAACTCCTTATGGAACATAATCAACATAAGAAGCTGGTACGCCTATGTCACGTGGAGCATAATCGATCAACCGACATGTGCTAGTGCAAAGGATAACCGAACGGATTACGCATGTGTGAGCGCCAACAGTACATGCATAGACAGCTTCAATTCTATGGAATATCTTGGCTACCTTTGTTATTGCAGCAGTGGTTTCATAGGCAATCCTTACGTACTTCATGGATGCACACGTGACGAAGGTGCTTTTTTACATACACATGACAACTTGCAGTTAATCTGTTTGGTTTGCAAAGCTTGCAAATTTGATTTCTGGTTTATTTTCTATGTATCCCACTACTTATTTTTTCTGTCTATCAACTCCAAAGTACTATTTTGTGATAACTTATCTCGATTCTCAACGGACAAAACAGAGCAGTGTAGCCTTAATTTTAGTAGCTACCAAATCAATCATGTATTATGAGAACATAATTTGGAGTATGATGTAGAGGGTCCTCTTTAAGAGGAAATACTAAACTATTTTCCCTTTTGATGCATAAGAGTGATGGTTTTATTTTCCATTTTTTTTATCATATCGAAAATCTTGTAATGAAAAATACACGATGTTTCATAATATTGCACGTGCACATAGATTCTTTTACTTGGATAATATTATACATACTAAATCTTCTAGTATTAGACGACATGTGTTAGTTGTTTTAAAATTAATTTCAACAGTGTAGCATCATTAAAAGATTGTGCAGGAAATTAACTCGCATCAATTTTACAGAATGAATAAGATATTTTTAGATAAAATTGTTTACGTTTCCATCTAGAGAACGAATAGGTGTCTTCAGTTAATATGTAACTTTCATATATACTAGCTTTTTAAGTTATCATTAATGGTATAAAAGATGTTTGTTTTTAGTAACTATGAAGATTTTGCTTAGGTTCTTTGTTCTAAAAAATAATTTGAGCAAGCATGAAAGTTTATTAATCGTTGTAGCTAAAAGTCAATAGCATTACATCAACTATCATTAATTTTGACATGGATATTGTACTCCTGAGTCCTGAGAAGCCCTTAATTTGGAGCTCAAATTTTCGTTGTAGTCTACTAGCTTATCCTGGCACTGCAATAGTTCAGTCATGGTTTACAGTACTAACTACTAAAAATTACTAGTAGTGAAGTTCATAAACTTTGTTCACTGAAATCAGGATATTATCCAGTTCAACAAAAGGCAAACTGCTCCCGACGGTGTGGGAATATCAGTGTTCCATTTCCTTTTGGGCTAGAGGAAGGCTGCGCTGCAAGAAAACTATTTCAACTCAATTGCACAAATGTGACATCTTCTACACTCCAATTTGACCGCGGTCATGTTGTGACAGACATAGATTTTGCAGAAGGGGTTGTTGGCATCAAACTTGCCTCATATTTCGAAGAGCAGGAGTTCAGTATGTATAGATCAGGAGAACCTGACCTATATGCAAGTTTTGGAGAAGCAGTGATCTCTGTGCATTGGGCTGCTGCTAATCTAACATGTCAAGAGGCCCAGAAGAACCACTCTCGATATGCATGTGTCAGTGCAAACAGCACATGTTTAGGTGTCGACTCTACTTATGGTTATGTTGGATACCAGGTGCAAATGCATGGATGGTTTTCATGGAAATCCATACGTCGTTAATGGTTGTGAAGGTATCCCGCTCTCCTTTCCCTTGTTTTTTCATCATCCCCAATTGTTTTTCATCCACTCCCAAGAGTATTTGGTCTAAGTTACCTTTACATATTCTAGTAGTGTATTTTATTAGGGGACTGTCTATAGATCATTTGACAAAAACCCTCTTAGAAATCTTGCAAATTTTAGACCATCCGATTGCTTTAAGATTCGTGCAGGCAACCAAACCCTAAAACACCACCCCCTATCCCGATTCCTCCTCACGCCGCCGCTCTCCCTAGCGCGAGCGCGCCACCCTAGCGCGCGCCGCCTCCGCCGCAGCCCCAGCGTGCCGCCGCCCGGCTGGCCGGAAGGTGTGAACAGCGCCGGCAAGGCCTCCTGGCCGGCCTCCTCCCCCTCCCCCTCCCCCCTCGCCTCCCCTCCTCAGGCCATAGAAGGCGAGATAGATCGCCCGCCCCATTGTCTTCCTCATCTCCGGTGACTCCTCGCCGCCGGATCCACCACAGTCGGCCACCACAAGACACAAACTCGCTATGCCCCCGCCACCAACACCGGCCAACCGCCCTCCTCCATCCCCGCGGCTCCGGTGCTGCCGCCGACGCCTCGCCGCCCGCCCGTTTCGTCGCCCACCGCCGGGCCGCCGCCTCCCACGACCATCCCTCTAAGCCCGGCGACCTCCCCTTTCTCCCCACCATCCCACCCCTCCCACCCCACCCCACCCCAGGACCCTAATCCATTGGCCTTCGCCGGAGTTTGGGTTGTTGCCGGCGCCGGAGAAGAAGAGGAGTTCGTCGGAGTTAGAGAAGAAGCAGCTGGAGCACGAATCACGAAGCACATCTAGTGAACCAAAATTTGTAACATTTGGAGGTAGGTTTTATGTCGACTGAAGTTTAGCAATTCCGATTTATTAATGGATTGAGTTACACAATGCGGAGTGAGATGCATAATCCTAGAAAATAGTGAGGCTCCTCAAACCTCGCATCAATTTATGTTGTGGTAGGCAAAGGTTACCGTTTTATTTTTCTTTTTGCAACAAGCAACAAACTTTTTCTTCTCTAAAATTCGAAATGTAGACAATCTAATGGGCCAAAGTTTCTCATAATTGTTATTGGGAGCAAGACTACCAATGATAATACCGTTTGAATTTTACTATTATGACCATCACCTCTATGTTTGTAATTTTATTCACGTTTCAAACATAGCATTTCAATTTGATGAAGTTCCTTATTGCAGATATTGACGAGTGCAAGAAAACACCTGGCATCTGCAAAGGCATATGCCACAATGACATTGGGAGTTACCATTGCATGGAGTGCCCAGACAAAACAGAGTATGATGTGACAGCTATGCAGTGTGTCTCAAGAAAAAAACAAAATCTTCTGATAGGTATGTTCTCAATGGTTTTCCACTTCTCAAACTACATTAAAACAAAACACTGATTCGGTGATAAAATCCTTTTAGGTATTGTAATTGGACTTAGTGTTGGATTCACCGTTCTACTCTTTGTATTGGGTGGGATGCTTCTTCTTCGTAGATGGAAAAGGGACATTCAAAGACAACTACGAAGAAATTACTTTCGAAAAAATCAAGGTCTTCTATTAGAACAACTGATATCATCTGACGAAAATGCGAGCGACAAGACAAAAATTTTCTCCTTGGAAGAGCTTGAAAAGGCGACAAATAATTTTGACCCCACACGTATCCTCGGACGTGGAGGGCATGGCATGGTATACAAAGGAATCTTATCTGATCAACGTGTGGTAGCCATAAAAAAGTCAAAGATAATTAAGCAAGATGAAATTGATAATTTTATCAATGAGGTTGCCATCCTCTCTCAAATAAATCATCGTAATATTGTAAGGCTTTTTGGATGTTGTCTTGAAACTGAGGTCCCACTACTTGTTTATGACTTTATTCCAAATGGTTCATTATTTGGAATTCTCCATGCTGATGCACGTAGTAGTTTTCGGTTATCTTGGGATGACTGCTTAAGAATTGCCACTGAGGCAGCAGGAGCACTCTGTTATCTTCATTCAGCAGCTTCAGTATCAGTCTTTCATCGTGATGTGAAGTCAGCTAACATACTTTTAGATGCAAACTGCACAGCCAAAGTTTCAGATTTTGGTGCTTCGAGATTGGTTCCCATTAATGAAACCCATGTTGTTACAAATGTACAAGGCACCTTTGGCTACTTAGATCCAGAATACTACCACACCGGGCAATTGAATGAGAAAAGCGACGTCTACAGCTTTGGAGTTGTACTTATTGAGCTACTACTTAGGAAGGAACCTATTTTTACAAGTGAAACAGGTATGAAGCAAAACTTGTCGAACTATTTTCTTTGGGAAAAAAAGGTGAAGCTAATTAGGGATATAGTGGCTGATCAAGTTCTTGAGGAAGCAACCGAGGAAGAAATTAACAATGTTGCCTCTCTTGCGGAAGATTGCTTGAGTCTACGACGGGATGAAAGACCTACTATGAAGCAAGTTGAGTTGGCACTACAGTTTTTGCTAAACAAAAGGTTGAATTCATACCGCACTGTTGAAGCAAACAAGGAAGAGATGGATCCCTTTATTATGACAAAAGTTCAACATAGCACTGAGAATTCAAATGTTGAATTTCTGAGCAATAAAGCAACTATATCGTCCTATCAGCCTGGCTTGGAGCACGAGTTTATGTCATCTGCCACTATACCACGCTAGAATTTATTCAGTTTCCAGTTCTGTGCTAGGCCATGATGCCTGTTGTTTCTCTTGACAATGTGAGATAATGTACCTTCAATATACTGCACGTTTTAATTTGAAGTACACTTGTAATAAGGCAAAATACTGTGTAAAAAATTATTTAATTTTATAAAGTTATTCCGGTGGAATGGACATGAATACTCAACTACTCAAGGATGAGATTTCCTATATAAAATGTGTTTAATTGCTTCAGTAATTAATATGTGAGATCTCTATGGAGAAGACGACTGTCTCCAACCGATGGACCTCCTAGGTAATAAGTTTATCCACATGGTCCATGTCCAAGTACGAGGTGCATCATGCATGGTATATCTGTGAATTTCTGGTTCTCAATTCTTCCTTATGTTCTATCTATACGTACTTGGTACTTGGTGGTACAACATATTCAATATATTGTGGGAATATATTTAACCGAACTGAAGATGCCCGACGATTCAATCCTAACTTAATTTATACTACTATGTTAATTAATATATCACTTAATAGTTAAGAAATTATTATATCCGGTAATTTTTATTCTGGTTCGCCACTGATCAGCGGCTTCGGTGCCTCGCAGCGATCACAAAGCACGGTGGGTTTAGGCGTCACGATGCTGCGACTGGACAGCAAGCGTCAGTGGCGGAGGTTGCCGGCCACCGTCTTGGCACTAGCGCCTCGACTAGCAGCGGCAGCGGCAGCATCGTCGACAAGTGCCGGGGGAAGGCAACGACCGCTGACCAGGCCACCAGGGACCACCTCCAGCCGTATTCAAGTATGCTCTTTCACCATTTGTTGCTTCCTTGTCTCTCTGGTTTTTCTCTTATCACAATTGCAAAATTGTAAACTGGGATGAGTGATACCAATGAGAGTTCAAACTTCTCAAAACTGAATGCTCATTTGTGTGACTTGTACGCTGCCGCCGCCGATGCAGAGGGCCGCAATGCCGGACCACACCGCCAACGGCCGCTGGTTCGTTGATTCGATCTAGAGCCAAACCCTACTACCACGTGAGTGCCTGCCAGGCTAGGGGAACGCACGCACACAGGTAAGTTTCTGCTGGGGTGTGCAACCGCTGGGTTCGTGCCTCTTGGGCTTTTACTTGAGGCGACGGCGGCGGCGACTCGGTCTTCCGGACTCCTCCCGCCGCTGGCTACTGCCTCAGCGGGCGACGCAGCGACCTGGCCAGCGGATCCATCAGCGTGGAGGTCGGGGGACGTCAGATCTTGCCACCTCCGACCTCCATATTGATGGGTTGATGACCACAGCGGGTTGCAGGTGCGACGACCGTCCTTCCTCTCCTCTCTCCTCCCTTTCCCCAGTTGCTTGGCTAGTGGATCCATCAGTGTGGAGGTCAGGGATGGGCGAATCTGGGAGGTGCGATGGCGATGCTGCCCCCTCTTGTTCTCCCTCCCACACAGAAGCAGGAGTAATGATTCATGCTTTTTATTTTACTTAGCTTGAGGATCTGTATGTATTCATATGCTGAAATAATGATATGGGAATATGTTCATCTTCAATTTGGGGATCTGGGGCATTGTTTTGAGGGATCGGGGGCATTGAATGACTCAATGAAGAGAACTGGGCTCAATGTCGAGGTATAGATTAGGTCGCATTGAATCAGACTTCTTTTTCTCGCCCTTATTTATGTTTCTTTTTTTACAAATTGAATCGGACTTTTTTTTTCTTGTTTTCATGTTTTTTGCGCCCTTTTTTCGTCATCACGGAGGACGGATACGTTTTCAATTTTTTATTGTCACTAGCGCCCATGCGTTGCAACAGGTCAAAAATTTCAATGACAATATATGTTTTTATAAACCATGTCAATGATAATATTTGTATAGATTGTTGTAGCTAAGACATATCATAAGGAATAATGGAACATTTCAATTAATGTCTCAACCTCGATTATGGCAATCTTTGCTTTACCCAAAAGAATTAGATTATTCATGTGACGGCACGCATATAATTTAAAATACTCTTTCAATACATTCTCCCAATTAAAAATAGGATCAATCAAAATCCTACATTGCCTCGCATGGTCAAGTCTATACAAAATAGAGCCACCGTGCACTCTTCTCTAACTATCAATTAAAAACATATTTGTTAAAATTTTAATATTATTTTCGTACAATATGTTATACTCCCTCCGGGCTGGGTTTATTAGTTGTTTTGGCTCAGTTAGCTGTGGATGAGAAAATTTGTCATTGGAGCATTTTTCCTATGCATGAGACGAGATTGCCCTTGTGTATTGATGGCGTTATTGTTCCCGGATTATCTCCTCGTTACTCCTTTTAACGCATCGTTCACATCTCATTTAATGGTGGCATGGATGCATGCAAGCACATAAGAGAACATGAACAGGATTAACGCAGTCTCAATCACCCATAGTGTCCATAAGCAGTGTCTATGGTGCCATATCAATAATACATCACAATAGAAACTACACTCTACAACTCATGGTTTCTTAAAGTGGGCCATTAATAAATACATCATCTCTCTTCTCTACCAATCATATTTATTCTTCATCTATTATGAGGACAATATTCTATCCCAATGCAAAACTTGATAGTGTCTAGTGAATAGGTTCTTGTGTTGAAGCTGTGTCTTGCATGAGACCCAGTTTCTTCCTCTCTTCACTCTCTCTCTTAATTAATATAGTGCCACATAAGTTCTACATGGCAATATAGTTAATGCCATAGACACCATCCTAGATGGAGGGTTGGGACTGCCCTTACATGTGGGCTTTGAGCAAAAAAGCCATAGTTGCTGACACATTATGTATGAGGCTGACGATGAGGACTTTGTTGAAGCTGTGTCTTGCATGAGACCCAGTTTCATCATCTCTTCACTCTCTCTCTTAATTAATATAGTGCCACATAAGCTAGAAGTACTACATGGCAATATAGTTAATGCCATAGACACCATCCTAGGTGGAGGGTTGGGACTGCCCTTACATGTGGGCTTTGAGCAAAAAAAAAAAAGCCATGGTTCCTGACACATCATGTATGAGGCTGACGATGAGGACTCGATGGCCAGCGACTCCATGGACGAGGCGGCCGGCGAGGAAGTGCTGCTCGTGGTCGCCGACTCCATGGACGACGAGGTCGGCGAGGAAAACGCCCGCATAAGCACAGATCTGTACTGAAGCTGCATGGGCTGCATGGATGCATGGGCTGCATGGATGCATGGTGCCATGCATAATCGCCAAGACCAAAAAAAAAAAAGGGAATGTAATCTAGACCAGGAATCGAACTCAAGTCCCAATACACCAAGATGAATGCACTAAACCAACTGAGAAAGTAGTAGCTGCTTGTTTGCACGCTATATCTAACTGTATTTAATAGGGACAAAATAGGAAATAAGGACCCTTCTTAATGACTTCTTGGTTTTTGAAATCGTGTCCGGAACGACTAATAAACCCAGCCCGGAGGGAGTAAAGAACAGTAGCTATAGTAGTACAATAATTGTCTACAGAGATATACAAGGCCATGAATACAGGAGAATAGATGAGTAAACAAAAGCCGTGTAGAAGATGAAACAAAATCGATGGAACCAATCTAACTCAAACGTCCATCAATTTGATCTCATGCTCAGGAAAAGAAAGGGGCCCAAACAAGACTTGACTTTAGTTCTAGATGTCAGAATATTCGAGCAACGCTTTCAAAAAAACCAAACCGACGTGGTAGACGATGGACGCTACAAACGTTACGAACCTTTTTCATGGAATTGGATGTTTTTTTCTTCTAAATTCGGACTTTTTTTTGCATTGCACAAGTGCCGAACCAAATTTTTTTTATAAACGGTGGTGTTTTCCTCGCGTTGAGTCACACGGTTTTTTCAAATCTGTTCTTGTATAAATGGTGATGTTTTTCTCACGTAATCATATGGTTTTCTCGAAGAAATAATGTTTTTTTTCCTCGCATTGAGTCAGATGTTATTTTTTTATCTTTTTTTATAAAGTTTTTACTCTAACAATTTCTTCGTAGCGTTTTTTATAAGAGCTTTTTTTTCTCGCGCGGTTTATATAAACTTTGACCTCTTTAGATGGATTTTGATATATGATAATTTGAATGAATAAAAAAAGTAATTCGAAAGGAGAAAATTGAATTCGCTTTTAAGTTTCCAAATCTACTTTGAAGAGTATTTGGAAAAGCTAAAAATGCCAAACCGGTTTCTTTACCTGGTTTTTTTTTCCACCAACCTCTTTTTTTAGGATTTGTGAAAAAAGCAATCTATTTTTATGGAATCGGACATTTTTTTAATCGGACAAAAACTTTTTTCGCACTTTTTTTTTCGTGCACGGACGACGGAAATTTCTCAAATTTTTTAAGTAGTACAGATACATATTTGAGATTGTAACTATGGTCTATATTACTCTCTTACATTAATGCATACATATGCTTATAAAAAGTTTTCCTTTTAAATTTTTTTAGATGGTTCGTCCATACAACTTAAATAAATATATATTTAATTCATTCATTGTATAATAGAAATATAGGGCATATAGATAGTATAAAATACCAACCACGTGCAGGAATATAATGCTGATATGTATACACATGCGCACGCCACTCATAAAGTTTTATTGTGCCTATGCAATATCATAGTCTCGTAAAGTTTTATTATGCCTATGCAATATCATAGTGTTGTACTTTACGTTAAATACATTTGATGTGCGACATGAATTGAATAAAATTTCAAATACACAGATCATATAAAAATATATTTTGCTAACATGAAGTTTTGTAAATTATTTAAGACAAATAGGATTGCAGCGTAGCGTTTAGCACATGTATATTAATAGTGTTTATATATACCGAAACTGTTACTGTTCACCTGTTACTAATAAAGTGCACCTTTGTTTAGTTCACCTGTGCTTACCTGTTACTGTTCAGTTAAATAATCATGGTTATCCCCTGCTGGCGTCTAAAGTAGTGAAAAAAAAGTAAAGTTTTCCAACAACAGATTGTACCACGTCATCGGATTAAAACTGACCGTTGGATGCACCAGAAATTGAATCGCTGCCGTCAGATGCAAAGTCAAGGTGAGTGAAAAAAGAAATCTGGTGAATGATAGAATGGTCCAGAGTGTGGCCAACGGTCCATGGGCCATGCAGCCGAAGCGTCGCGGCTCGCGAACAGGAGAAGCCGAACGTCGTGGATACGAAAAAGAAAAAAAAAACGCAGAACCAATCTCCTCCCGAAACACATCCGCCACCGCTGCCCACCTCGCCTCCTTCGCCGCCCCCCCATTGCCGTCGCCTCCTCCGCCCGCCTCCACTTCCACCCTTCTCCTCCACCGCGCTCACTCGCCCCCTCCATATCCACGTCGGCGGCGAAGTCCATCCACCCCGAGTCCCACGCCGTCGCCTTCTCCCCTCCGCCCCCGGCGTCTTTTCCCCTCCTCTCTGCACCACGGAGTCTCTTCCTCGCACAGTCCACCGCCTCCTCCCCCATCGCCGTCACCTCCTCGCCTCCACCGCACTCTTCCTACTCGCTTTCTCATCCCCATCTCCATCCCAATCGCAGCTCCAGAAAAAGCGGGACAATACCGAGGTTGACAGCGGCAGATCAAGGCGAGCAAGGATAAATCGGATCGCAGCTAAATAGTTTGGTAAGTCTCAAACTCAGAAAATCCCATCACCTTCTATCTTTGCCTTCCCAGACTGTAGCCGGGAAAACATATAGGGTTAATAAAGAACAGTAATGTGATGGATTGACAAAGAGTATGTTAGAAAGCTTACATGTACAATTATGTTTCTGTTTTTTTTTTAAAAAAAGGATTGTTCCTGTGTTTTGTTCAGCAAGGGAACATTAATGTTAAAGGTCGATAGCCAACTCAAACGATTTTTTTATTGGATAATATTTTTTTTTGACATCATCAGCAATGATCTAAAGGTTTGGTTTGACATTAACAAGTGCCTTCGATTACAGGACAATACACTTGTTTCTTGCCTGCGTCATTCTGTTGGGCAAATCTGTGAATCAAAGACATCAATGTATTAGGAGTTTAGGACACAATTAAATGCTAAGCAGTTAAAAAATCTATTACTAAATTCATAAAAAAAATTTTGATGATCTACATATCTACACTGATGATTCAAAAATGGCTGGAAATTAGTAACACTTTGGTCAAAATAATCCTATTCACTTTAATATTTTTCCCTTCTGAGTTCTGAAGCTGAAAGCCAAGCAAACAGCTCATGGTCACCAAGTTATTGGTCCTCTGGTGTGTCCATGAGGCCTGAGGGCACCTTAACCTTAACCTTAACCTGTTAATTAACAACAAAATTTTAGTTCTACTCTACATTTAGCCTATGTAATTAGTACAACACTAGGTACTGAATGCTACAGTTTCTAACTCTGCATTTACCCTATGTAAATGTCAATCATATATTGCAGACTGTTTATGCACATGAGATTTTAGCGAGAATTTGACAGCCAAAATGTAAATGACTGCATCTGCCCATCTCTAATTTTTATCTAGAGACTAATATGACAATCCACTAGCCTACAAAATCTATGGAGCATTGTGCATAAATATATCACCTTTTTCATAGCTAAAATTTTTTTATTCATATTTGACTGTATCTACGTGTACTGTCATCACACCCGCTACAAGCCTGATGACAGATTCATCGATATGAACAAGCTCAAGGCTTCCACTTCTGGTGGTTAGCTTCGATTAATTGTATTTGCATTGCACCTGTTCTGTATCACTGCATGTGCATAACTCAAGACAGTGTGCCAGCTGAAGTTTTGTTATCATTTTCTAGAGGTTATTGGCTATTTTGCTGTCCTGAGTAACACAATTTTATTTGTACTGTCATTGTTAGGTGAGAGGTTCTTCAAGAATTATAATTACTCTCTTTGATTTTTAGAAGTAAAACATTTTAACTATTTCAATAGGTCAAATTAAATATGTTTACAACTCTAGTTATAACAGAAACTTCGCACAAATTCCATTTCATAATACAAGAGTATGAATGCATCTGAAACACCTTGATGTCATCATGATAAAAAAACATTATTTTCCCCCTTAATGAATTGACAAGAATCTCTGACAAGTTGTTGTTTAATACTCTGTAGAAGTGTAGAGGAATGAATATTCAGTTATGTAATTGGAAGAGAAAATGTAGTATGCTCTGTAAAATATTGAACATTCACGCTTGAACATAGTATTTGAGCCTTGAGCGAGAAACATTGGATTGTTATTAACAGGTCCTATGGTTCCGCAAAAAAAAAACATTATGGCATAAATATACAAGTCGTCAATACGGACATAAAATACGAAAGTTTTTCACCACCACAAAGCGCCATGTCATCGGATATTTAGGACCGTCGGATGCAGCCACGGATTCAACCGCTGCCATCAGAACTGAAGTGAAGATGAGTGAAAAATCTTGGTGAATGGTAGAATACTCTAGGAGTCACTGAGTAGGTGAAAAGGGTACCAAAAGAAAAATAAATAACGCAAAACCCATCTCCTCCCGAAACGCATCCACGCCGCCTGCCCTCCTCTTCGCCGGGGCTTTTAACTATTTGCCACTCTTACGAGTAGTGCTTAACGATTTGCCACTAGGCCCATATGTCATAGACACATGAGGGCCCACATGTCATAGACACGGTGTGGCAAACCGTTAATTGCCATGTCACAAGAGTGGCAAATAGTTAAATTTCCCCTCTTCACCTCCATCACGGCGTTCTCACCTCTTTCCCCATTGCCGTCGCCGCCGCGACAGGCTCCGCTTCTGCCTCCTAGTCCCCCAGCCCCATTCTCCCGGGCATCTTTTCCCTTCCTTGCTGCACCCAGCATCTCTTACTCGCACAGCCCACCGCCTGCTCTCCCATTGCCGCCAAAGCCTTTGATCTACGCGCTTTCTCATCCCCATCCTCATCCCCATCCCCGTCCCAATCACAGCTCCAGAAAAGCGAGACAATATCGAGGTTCACAACAGTAGAACAAGGCGGGCGACGATAAATCAGATCACAGCTTTCAGTCATCCCTCGTCAACGGGATTTGGTAAGTCACAAACTTAGTAAATCCCATCGCCTCCTATCTTTGCCTTCCCACGCTGTAGCTGGGAACTACATCTGGGGTCAATAAAGAACAGTGATGGGATGGATTGATGAAGAGCAATGTTATAATAATATGCTAGAAAGCACATGTACAACTGTGTTTCGTAAAAAAAAATAAGGATTGCTCCTGTGTGTTTTGTTTAGCAAGGGAATATTAATGTGATAGGTTGATAGCCAACTCAAATGATTTTGTTTTTCTTGGACAGTAAGGTCTTTTTATTTTTATTTTTTGCCTTCTGACTTCTAAAGATGAAAGCCAAACGCAACAGACCATGTGACAATAGGGCACGTTAACCTTAACCAGTTTAAGTAAAAAAAATTAGGTTCTACTACCTTTGAATCGCAGGATAGAAAAAAAGTAGGATTTTGATAGGAATGTAAGTGTAAAACAGATGATTGCAAAACACAGGAATAGCCGTTTGATTGGACCGCAGGAAAAACACGGAAATTAGAGGAGAGATAAAGACTCAAAGGAAAGTTTCCATAAGGTTCTACCTCATGTTAGAATTCCTCCAAAACTTGCATGACATTAGGCATTCCATAGGAATTTCATAGGATTCCATAAGATTCATTTCTTTGATTCAAAGGGCTATATAGAAAAAATTCCTATAGGAATGAAATCCTCTAAAATTCCTATGAATTTCCCTTAAATCAAAGGGGGCCTAAATAGCGCCCTTTTTAATTGTACACCAATCACCTGAATACTGGAGTTTCTGAATCTGCATTTAGCCTATGTAATGCCCTATTTAGTTCCAATGCAAAAACTTTTCACCCTGTCACAACAAATGTTTGTACACATGCATGGAGAATTAAATATAGAAAAAAAACTAATTACACAGATATGCGTGCAAATTGCGAGACAGATCTTTTAAGCCTAATTGCTCCATGATTTGATAATACGGTGCTACAGTAAACATTTATTAATGGTGGATTAATTAGGCTTAATAAATTCGTCTCGCAGTTTACAGGCGGAATATGTAATTTATTTTGTTATTAGTCTACGTTTAATACTTCAAATGTATGTGCGTATATCCGATGTGACACGCCAAAACTTTTCACCCCTGTAACTAAACAAGGCCTAAATGTCAATCATATATTGCAAACTGTTTATGCACATGTCAATATATGATTTTAGCGTGAATTTGACAACCAAAATGTAAATGACTGAATCTGTAATTACTGGGTACTTCTGCATTTTTAGCTTGCAATATGCTGACCACAAATGGTTGTCAAGCCTGAAATTTATGATGACTTTCTTCACTCTTTCTGATAGAGCTTCTTTGATAGAAGTTATATCTTCTTACTCTTTAAGATTCTAGATATTCCTACCCTCAACAGTATATTTTTTCTTACTTTACGATTCTAGATATCCGTACCCTATTTAACCTTTACGATATTATATATACTTTACACCAATTTATACATATCTCTTGAATAGACGGTCACATACTAATTATACATGTCATCGTGGTCGCGCGACCTATGTGGCTAGTTTTATGTATATCTATACTGAAATTTTAATTCTTACCATGAACAGATTGGTACTGGTGTCTCGCCTATTCCCCCGATGAATCCTTCCATCCCCCGGCGTCGAGCCAAGGACGCCGCCCTCCGGCGAGAGGCGGAGCGGTATGTGAGCACCGCTAAGGATCTCTTGTCAGGCCAAATCACAAAGGGCAAAATCGAGCGCTGCTGGCACTTACTCATCAAGGCCCTTGGCCTCGACCCATGCGCCCCGAGCGGGCAGGCCCTCTTGGTCGCCGCCGTCGCCCTCCGCACCACCCATCACCACCGGTACCGCCTCCCGTCCGGGGCCCCCGACCCCTACCTCGTCTTCGGCCTCAACCCCGCCGTCCCAACCGCCCGTGACCCCGCCGTCATCGAATCTTACTATCGCCAAGCCTCCGACCTGCTCAACCGCTCTCTCTGCTCTCACCCCCTTGACCCCTGCTATCCCGCCTTCTCCCATGCCGCCCGCCTCGTAGCCGATGCGTGGGCCGTCCTGTCGGATGCTGACCGCAAAGCATCCCTCGACTCCAGATTCGAAAAGCCGCCGCCGCCGCCGCCTCAGCCATCGGCGCCGCCAACTGCACAGCCTGGCCGCGGCACCTCTGCTGCTACGACTATTCCAAGTGATGTGGCCCATGGGCGTCGGGCTGGTTAAGCGCAACGTTCGTCTGGCTGGCGATGAGTGGATTTGAGGGTGCCTGCGTGCACATGCCTTGTATCGTCATGTCATGAAGAGGAATTTGCTGCAGGAATTTTTTTTTTGTTGCAGATTTTCTGTTTGAACCATATCTGAAACATTTGAATGATGTCATTGCTGTCGATTCTATTTGAGTCTCTTTCCTGTGCTGAGTTAATTCTGAAAGTACGGCAAATCACTATTGATACGTTTTTTTACATTTTTTTATACTATGGCTTCTTCTATCACATCTATGACAGCCCGTGCAGATTGGAAATATGCCACCACAAATTGCTTGGATTGGAAATACGCCACCGCAAATTCCTACCTCAAGCGTACCGCGGTACCATTGCGGTGGCATGGTTCTAAATACATGAATTGTAGTGACATATTTCTAAACCGTGCAAATTGCAGTAGCATGGTTCATGCTCTAGACGAATGTAGTGATTGTCTATTTATGTATCCAAGCTTCTTTTAGATTTCATATTGTTCAGCTATTTTGTTTGTTTACAACAAAATGGACCATATCCAAAACTGCAACAACTCTATGCATGGATCAATGATGCTATATAATCAGGTAAGTGTAATTTTGATCAGTCTTTTGAATTGGTATCCGGAAATTTTGTGAGCGCTTTAGCATCTTTTTAACCTCATAGGTGCTGCTAGATCAATAGCATTTTTTATCTCTCTGTAGTTGTCGAATGAAACTTCACAAATGTGGATGTGTTTTTTTTTTTCAAATAATGAGTGGTAGCTGCTACAAGTATATCTTCCTATGTCCAGATCCATCATGTTTTTCATTGTCAATTTGAGTGGAAGCTATTCTCAATATTTTTCTTGACTGCATAGGTCCCTTCTTTTTTGGCCTCATAGATACTGCTATGGCAACTTGATTTTGTAAATTACTCACTTGACAACGATATGGTGAGAGCTTAAATATCTTTTTTTTACATGTGATTGTTATTTAAATGCTTAATATGTTTATAAGGCCAGTCCCAACCCAAGAAACTAGACATAGTTTCCATAAACTCTACATCATCAAGAAACTAGTACTATACACTACTTTTTCAATGCAAACACCACTTTTTCATGCTTAAAATTAATGCTACTTATCTCACATGATGTCTTAAATGCTGTGTAGAAATCATGTCTCATGCAAGACCCTCATTTATTCACTTGCCACATCATCTTTTACTCTAGGTGGCAGCTTATTTAATGCTATAGACACCATCCTAGTCATTAGGTTGGGAATGGCCTAAGAGCAGGAACAATTGTAGACTATTAGACAGCTGTAAATATATTTTAATGAGATGAAAGATGAGGGAGAAGAGCAGCCGGCTATAGATCTGTAGCCAGCTGCAGCACGGACTCCAATACACAATGTGTGTATGACAGGTGGGACCATATAACAGTATAGTAAGCAACTATTTTATGAATTTACTGTTAGATTAGCTAAAGATGAACTGGAGCTAGTAGTGGGCTATACTATTAAACTTGCTCTAATAGAGCTGTTTGTGGAGGTGGTTGGTCCCGAGTGCATCATACCCGAGGGATGAGGGATATAGATCCTCTAATCTTCTTATCATCGGCTTCATTTTATCAAGCGTTATTATGCTAGCACTCATCAATTCATCCTTTCCTCACATACTACGTGTTTTAGCTATAACTATCAATTTTATACATGATGCCAATACTCTTATCTACAAAATCCTGTTATTTTACCTATTATATTAGCTAGGTTGATTGTACAAATTACTAAACAGACCGCGAAAGTAATCATATAAAATCCTATAAGGCCCTGTTTCTTTCAGCTTGGGATTATTATAATCCAGATTATTAGGAGTAAGCTGAAAGAAACAGACAACTTATTGAAGTAGCTTATTATAATCTGGAGCTCAGCTTATTATAATCTGATAAGCTCATTTAGGTAAGCTTTTTCTAGATTATTGGGTGAAAAATTACCCACCATGCCATCCCACTTCCTCTTTAGACCTGCAAACCCAATAATCTATGCTCTAATAATCTAGAAAAGAAACAACTAACCACTTATTCTACTACAGATTATAACAATCTAGCTTATAGTAATCTGACTCAATAATCTAGATTATAATAATCCTAATCTGAAAGAACCAGGGCCTAAAGCTCATGTCGTTGCTGTACACTGTTCACTCGCCCGCGCGGCCACGTCACCCAAAAAAGCAGCGCCGTCCGATGCCCCGCCCAGCTACGCGTTCGCCATCGTATCAGGCCACCGCAACAGGCAGTCGGTCGTGCCCTAATCCCTTATTTCCTCTCCCCTTCCCACGCTCCGCCGCCGCCACCGCGATTCCTCGCATTCGTCCCCACTCCCCAGCGGCACCGCATCCGAGCCAGCGCGACCTCCTCCTCGAGCCAGTGGTCGCCCGCCCGCCCGCCGTCGCTACCTCCTCCTCGAGCCAGCGGCTGGCATAGATCCGGTTGTCGATGTGGTTGCAGATCACGGACGACGTCGGCCACCAGGTGGATGAGGTCGAGGGAGGCCTGGCGGCGCTGAGCAACGATGTCCAGGTATGGTGCTTCTTCTCCACCTCTCTCCCTCATCTCAGGTCAGTCCCCTCTCTCCCTCATCTCGCTTCTTATCCTGCTTCTCCACCTCGACCTCTGACGACGACCACCACTGCGATGGGGACAGGATGCGTCAGATGGTGCTCTCCGGGCCGGGATCCTTCTCTCTCGCGCCTCGGTGTCGTCGACGGCAGCGTGAGGAGGCCACGGGGCACAGGATGGAGCACGCATGGGCTAGCGAGACCGCGAGGTCGTCTTAGGTCGTCGTCCCCGTCTCCCCCGAGCTGCCCCGTTGTCGCTTCTTCCTGTGAGCTCTGTTCTTTGACCCAACAACTATTTGGGGTTTAGTCTGTGGCAAGTGTTCTGCTCCAAATCACTCGAGAGATTGGTGTCGATCTGTAGGTATGATTGACTGATTTATGCCCTGGATTGAGAGAGTAATATGTAATTAGGTGCTTTCTTGGTCATTTTTTCCTGGGGATTTAACTGGCATCCGTAGATTTCTTGGATTTGGGATTGATTTACTGCTTGATTCGAAGCTCTGTTTCGTTAATATAATGGCGAGAACTTGAACTCCATCTATTTAAGACATTTTTTTTTGTTTCAGCTCTCTGGATCAAATTAATCTGAGGGTCTCTTGATTCCAATTTTTTCATCCAGGATGCTGCTGCCAGTACATGCGTTGCAGCTCTTCTTTTCCTTCTGGATCTGGATTTTAATCCACATGTCTGCCTTTTGTTATTTTTAATTATTTTGTTCGATTGATTAGTCTCATCAACCTTTACTCTACAAATGATGATTTACATGGTCATTATTCCATCCAGAAGAAATGCATTGACTGTTTTACATGGCAAACTTATTGAAGGGTTGTGTTCTATCTCGACCAAATGTTCTCAAATTATTTTGCCTGCTGCTGCATTATAATACTCACAAGCTATTTTACTATCATCGAATCCTCATCCGGATACCCAGCTGTGTTTTTGTTGTATAGTGTCCAATGGATCTCTGAGCAACCCAGTTATACTAGAACAAAATGAAGATACACAGCTTTGTTATTATTTCGTTAAATACTTGCAGATTCCATATTTCTTCACAAGCTTTCATTTTCTTTACTATAATCTTACAGGCAGGACACATGACTTCGATCATGGTTTAGCATCATCTGTCTTGGAATCTTTGGAATTCCTAAAGCTAAATTGATCAGGCACTCAGTGTCCTATATATGCAGCAGATGAAATGATTCAAAAACATAATATACAAGTATCCGTTGTTGATTAGTCCAGTGAATATTGTCGTAGCCACACAGGTAACCAAAACTGCACAAAAAGCTGCACAACAATTTCACTTGGTTTTAGTTTTCTTATTGCTTTTGCTTATATAAGAGTTAGGGCATATTACAAATAGTAATTATTAGCTTTAAATCTTTTTTTTACCTAATGATTTAACTGGAGGAAAAGTTCAAGCTAGCTACTGCAGATAATCAGTTTTGCTTTAATTATCTTGATCAGTCTGTAAGTGATAACCTGTTTTGGTTATGTTTAATTCCTTCATTATTAACTTTGGTTGGAAGTTCAAGCGTTAATTAAAGTTTCATTGGTTGGTTCATTCACATTATCATGCCATATAATCCTGTGACAAGGCATATATTTCTAGAGGTTTGTCCAACATATCTAAAATTCTGTATGGGTGCCGTGTTGTTCAAGAGTTGTGTTCTTTTCTGCCTTAGTACCAACAGAGTTCCGCTTTATGGTTCACTTCACAAAATTTTCTCCGCATGTTGTTTATTTATCTTAAACGAGCAGGATGGAATGCTTCATAGGCTGCTTCAAGGAATGGGAGGTAAAAAATGTGACTAGCAATCCTATAGTTTTGGTTCTACATATATGTAATCGCTGTACATATACGCAGTTAACTTGCTGCTCACTGATATTTGTTTTTCTGGTCACTGATGGATGCTTATATTATTTGTTTCTCACCGATATATCTTTCACGTATGATAGTTCATTTTAGACTAATTTGTCATTCAAATTTTATTTCATACAGATAGGCAAGTCCTCTATTTTCCAGATTAATACGGGGGAGACATCGAAAAGATATGCACCTCTTCCTTCTTTGTACAGCTGAAGTAATGCCTTATGATAGCACACCAACCACATGCAATTTCTTCTAATGAACACACAATTGTTTATACTTTGCTACATACAGTGGACAGTTACACCTCAAATCCCTCCTAGAATAAATCGAATGAAACAGTTACATACCAGTCTGTACTATGACATCAGTATGGCCCTTTTGGTCTGTATAGCTGTCATTATTGTAAACTATGCACTATGTGTACATGTGCTTAAGATTACTAGCTACCTATTCATGTTTTCATGCTATATTATGGTATGACATGTACATTCATTGTACAAATACCACACTAAAACTTTTTTCCTTCCGTGTTCAGGTACATCTTGAACGGCAGTTAATTTCCAAACTGAAATCATGTTTCTTCAGGTTCAAAGAAAAAAAAAGCCATGTTTCTGGAAATTCACTTTATTTGATTATCAACACCCTTTCACACTGTTAAATTGTTTGACTCCTATCATGGATATAGTATCAATACATGTACTCTATTATTGAACGTGTATTACTGACACTGAAAGTTTCTATTATTTCACAATTCCTATTATCTTCTTCGTTCTAATGATTTCCTATTATTCACCATGCGATTTTTAAATTATTGCACCATGTATTATGCTATTGAACTTATTAAATTACATGTCCTTGCAGAAGAAGTTGACATTGGCATTGTGCAAGCTCTATTGATGCTATCCAACCTCCACATAAACATTGTGCCTTCTTTTGGTAATATGGGCGCTTTAGGCATAGACCTCTGTAGGGATCTTCATCCTGTAGTCAACGGTTATGCATTCTTCTAATTGTTGTATATTACTCTTAGTCTGGTGGTATATATGCAGAAAGATATTCATACCCTTACCATAACCCCAAAAAATGTAATTGTTAAGATAAATGAAAATTTTTCAAGATTTATTGTGACTTAGAACTTCAATTTTCACTTTAGTAATGATATCTCACTTTCATGGTACAAATCTATATATAAAGATTTGTACTTTGGTATATCTTTTAGTCGGTGTAATATTTCTTTTGTTATAACAAATTTGTTTTGCGTGGTTTATTGTAAAATTAGTGATGTAACAAATAATGTGCCCGCGCAACGCGCGGGCCGGGCATCACCTAGTTAGGGCACCCACAATGTTGTAAAAAACCAGGTAGTAAGCATTAAATGGTTGCTTACTACCTGGTATTAGTCATTGTGGGAGTAGTTCATTCTTAAAGCCAGGAAGTAGCGCTGCTGCCGGCAAGAAGGGAATAAAAAATGAAATGTGTACAGTGGAGTTCTGACAAAAAATTTTAAATTGCAAGTAGCCGTTGCTTCTTCCAACCGTTGCTCTCCTCCCCAGCCAACCGTTGCATGGACTGTTCTTCTTGCCATCTTCATCTCCTACAAAAACAGAGATGGCTCATAATTTCTTTGAATCAACACAAACACATTCTGTGAAACTTAGCTAGCTGAGAGCTTGAGATGGATCCCTCCAAGAGAGGTTTCATGAACTTGTTAAACCAAGGCTCTCCAAGCCAACAATCTAGCCAAAACTCCCCTCCTACTCAATTCCCCTCAACTTTCTCCCAATCACAATTTCCCCAATCCCCACATTTTACCCAAGCCTCACCACCTAATTTCCAAACCTTCAACCCTTTTGGTCCTCCAGCCAACTATCACCTATATGGTAGTTCTCCTCCAAACTTTCAAGGTTTTCTGCAGCAAGCAAGCTGGTTACAATCTGCACCAATAAGCTTTCAAGGTTTTCGTCCCCAAGAAAGTTGGATGCACTCACCAAATCAAGTTGTCGGGTCCGCCTCATCTCATGGATCCAAATCAGCCTCTCAGTGCCCTGCAAGACAGGAAGAGAACAATTTGGTTAACATCGAAGAGTCAAGTGACAATAGCCAAGAGACAGGGAGAAGAGGGACACACGTCAACTGGACCGAAGAAGAAAACTTACGACTCCTCAGCTCTTGGTTGAATAACTCACTAGATTCTATAAATGGCAATGACAAGAAGGGAGAATACTATTGGAGGGATGTTGCTGCAGAGTTCAATGGTAATGCATCTAGCAATAACCGCAAAAGGACAGTCGTGCAATGCAAGACACATTGGGGTGGTGTTAAGAAGGACATTGCAAAATTTTGTGGAGCTTATTCTCGAGCTAGAAGAACCTGGAGCAGTGGATTCTCTGATGATATGATCATGGAGAAAGCCCATGCATTATATAAATCAGAAAACAATGATAAAACTTTTACATTAGAGTATATGTGGAGAGAATTAAAGGATCAACCAAAATGGCGACGGATACTTGAAGAGGACAGCAAGAACAAGAGGACTAAGATTTCTGAATCTGGTGCATATACATCATCATCCAACCAAGAAACTGAGGAGGAGACCAGCCGAAAAGAGAAGCGTCCTGAAGGGCAGAAAAAAGCCAAAGCCAAGCTTAAAGGGAAAGGAAAAAAACCTGCACCGTCTCCTTTGGGGGACCAGCCATCTCAAGATTTTGTTCTCTTCAACGAAGCTGTAAAATTGAGAGCAGAAGCAGTGCTGAAATCTGCAGAAGCAACCACCAAATCAGCGGAAGCAAAGAAGGAACAAACTAGGATGGAGAAGTATCAGACATATTTAAAGTTGTTGGACAAAGACACTGCCAATTTTAGTGATGCAAAACTCAAGAGGCATGAAGCTGTCCTCGAAAAGCTAGCTACAGAACTTGCAGAAGAATAGAAGATCCCTAAGTTATGTTTGTACCCCTAGTACTTAGTGTGTCACTGTTTCATTAAGTTTAACTTGCTAGTAATATTTAGACTTGTGATAGGTTTGTAGGGCAAGTAATTGTTGTATTGTGAACTCAGTGAATGATGAATGTAATATTTCACTAGTGAGAAGGCATATGAAGTGATAATATTTGCCCACAATCATAATATGTCTGAACCTTCTTCTCTGTAGTCTCTGATTTGTCCCATAACAACAGCAATTCGTTTCTTAAGCAGCCTGCAGAAAAATATACATTGATAATAATTAGCACAACATTTTATAATATGGTGGTTTGAATAGATAGAAAAGGAAGGTATGGTTGTTTAAAATCTAGCTGTTAGAATACATCCAAAAAGCAAGACATGGTTGTTTAAAATCTAGCTGTTGGAATACATCCAAAAAGCAAGACACAGTTGTCTAAAATTTAGCTGTTGGAATACATCCAAAAAGAAAGACATGGCTGTTCAGAATCTAGCTGTTGGAAACTAGCCGTTGCAATGGAAGCAAAAGCAAGGCATCAATGTTACACATAGCTAGCAGGATGAACCATATATAAATAAGACATGCACATCACGAAGGCAGCATTCCCCTTCCTTTCCTTCAACTTCTTACCAACATAGCAACCCATCTCCAAAAAAGATGTCCACTGAGTCACAAGATAATTCTAGTCATTCCGATGAGTCCATCACTAGTGAGAAGCTTGATGATATGACATGGGAAGAAATTAATGACCCTATGGAAGCTCAGCTTGAAGCTCGGTTGGAAGCTCAACTTGAAGCGAGATTGATGGCTCACCTAGCTGGTAGCTCTAATCAGCTGGGGGGCTACACAAGGAGGTACATTAGTAGAGATCATGAAGATGACCACAACAGATTATTTGCTAAATATTTTTCTGAGAGTCCATTGTACACCGATGATCAGTTTCGGAGGAGATTTCGCATGAGAAGGCATCTTTTTTTGCGCATTGTACAAGCTCTTGGTGTTTGGTCTCCATATTTTCGTCTAAGGCGAGATGCATTTGGCAAGGTGGGTCTATCACCATTGCAAAAATGCACCGCTGCCATGCGAATGTTGGCATATGGTACACCAGCTGATCTTATGGATGAGACCTTTGGGGTTGCAGAAAGTACAGCAATGGAGTGCATGATCAATTTTGTTCAAGGTGTGCGGCATTTATTTGGTGAACAATATTTGCGCAGGCCTACCGTGGAGGATATTCAACGTTTACTTCAATTTGGAGAGGCACATGGATTTCCTGGGATGTTGGGGAGTATTGATTGCATGCATTGGGAATGGCAAAGTTGTCCGGTTGCATGGAAGGGCCAATTCACACGTGGTGACTATGGAGTACCCACTATTATGCTTGAAGCAGTTGCTTCTTTAGATTTATGGATTTGGCATGCTTTCTTTGGTGCTGCTGGTTCAAACAATGATATTAATGTATTGGACCAGTCTCCATTATTCACTGAAATGATACAAGGAAGAGCACCTCCTGTTCAGTTTACCATAAATGGTACACAATATAACATGGGATACTATTTAACTGATAGAATTTATCCGGAGTGGGCTGCATTTGCCAAATCAATCACCAGGCCCCGAAGTGCTAAGCACAAATTATATGCCCAACGTCAAGAATCAGCAAGAAAAGATGTGGAAAGAGCCTTTGGGGTTTTGCAAAAACGTTGGGCCATCATACGTCACCCGGCGCGTATTTGGGAAAGGGAAGAGCTTGCAGATATAATGTATGCCTGCATTATTTTGCACAACATGATAGTTGAGGATGAGAGAGGCTCATATGATATACCGGATGACAATACATATGAACAAGGGCAGTATTATCCTCAAATGACAGGGCTTGACCATGGACCAATATATGGATTTCAAGAAGTTTTAGAGCAAAACAAGGCTATCCATGACCGACAAACACATCGGCGTCTGAAGGGAGATTTGATAGAGCACGTGTGGCAGAAATTTAGTGGTCAGCAACAATAAGATTAGATTTTAATAATTCCATATCAACCTTGTATTTTACTAGTTTAATTTGTCTTTACCAATTTAGAATCTAAATGTTTGCTTCCAAAAGTACTTGTATTTGTATGTCAAATGTATTACTTTTTATCAGCTACGTATTCCAATAGGGACTATGTACACTAGCTAGTTATCTTGCAATACCTACAAAAATGGATTGCCTTTTATTTCTGAAGAACTATATATATGTTCTGTATACAGCTAGTAGACTGAAGAAAAAAGGAGAGCAAAACTACCAACAGAGAGGCAAAATGTGGTTCCTTTTTCCTGAAAACATTTGAACAGGAAACAACTGTGTTGATACATAGCAACAAGGTTACTTACACCAACACCAATGCACTGGTGTCAAGTATACTCCCCTGCAGCTAGCTGATCGAGAATCGAGAATCAGCTAGAGCCCTGACAAACATATACTCCAGTAGCTATATCGAATACTATTGAAGTTTTCAGATTAATCAAACTCCGATGCTTACTTTTGATTAGTGTTGTAAGAATTAAACATAATTATATCTCATCATCATGTAGCTTGTATTTTTGAGAAAAAAGACAGTCGGTTGCTGTTAACAGGCCGGCAACATAGCAAATAGATATATTTTGGATGGCAAGAGAGTTAAATTAAATTTTCTGCAACATAATATTTAGCAAGAACATAAAAGGTTAGTGCTAGCTACATCCGTTCGTGATGTAGAACAGTAGAAGGTTAATGTAGCTACCTGTTTTAAACTGCTGTATGCAGGGCTCTTATGGAGTGGGGAAACCTAGTGTTGTGTTCTTTACTTGGATAGAAGCACGAACCATAACACAGATCAAACGGTAAAACAACTGACCGTGATTAAACAAAAAATCTGTCCACATAGTTATAGCAACTCCGACCGTGATTAAACAAAAAAAAAATCTGTCCACACAGTTATGGCAACTCCGATTCTCATAAACTGAACTAGAAAATATAACATGCGCAACATCGACAGAGAGGTACATGGTACAATATTTATCATGCAAGCACATACGCTATTCTACTACTTAAATCACAAGCATAGGGGTTAGTTGGACTTACAGTTGGTCTTGCAGCTCCGTCGCAGATCTCAGCAGGAGGATATGAAGCCGAAGCTGATCACACACCAGAGAAGATGACCTCCTCAGTCTCCAGCCGGGCTGAAGCACCAGTCCGCCATAATAAGGGAGGTGGCTTGCGGCGTCGGTCGGCGGGGATAGCGGCGACGGATGAAGGGGAAAGCGTTGCCTGATTGCAGAGAAGGAAGGTTTGCGGCGTCGATGGTGGGGGTGGAGCGGATGCGGCGCCGGGTGGTAGCGATAGAGGGGATTGCGTCGTTGGGTGGCGGAGAGGAACCCGGCGTCAGTGGAAGGGTGGAGGGGTTTGTGGCGTTGATTTCGGGGGGAGGGGGAGCGGATCGCCGCATGGATAGTGGGGACGGAGGAGTTGGCGGCGGCGAGTGGCGGGGTAGGAGCGGATTTTACGGCGGCGGGGAAGGAGAGGAGATTGCGGCGCCGGTGGAAACAGCGAAAGAGGAATTGGGGATCGATCTGGCCGGAACTCGCGCGAAGGAACTGAGCGCCGATTTTTTTTATCCTGTGGACCCCACCTTTACTACCCTCTCGCCGAGATAAGCATTGTGGATAGTGTCTTCTCCTATTACCGCCTGTGACTGGGTCCCACACTAATACTCATCTTGATAATATACATTGGTGTTGCCCTTAGAGAATAAAATTATAGCACCTGAGTCGTAGGCTAGTGGCATTCCGTTTTCAAAACGGATGACCCAGATGCCTCTGAGTACTGTATAGCAATTAACTATGAAAAATAAAATAGTACGGTTCTGATCGTTGGACCATATGGTCTCTAGTGGAATGAAACGTTTTGCATTTGGAGGGAAGACTTTTTTCATATTGGGGCACCTCTCTATGCGGCACCACCTGAGACATTGCCAATACCAATCCCCTGGCATACTTGTGATAGTCAAGACATCGTGCACATGCAATGACTCGGACACCCAACCTATTAGGTAAGCTAAAGTAGGACGAAACTACCAATTTCCATCGGATTCACCCTCCAAGTTGTGGCTCCCTTGAGCAATCTCGAAATGACGCGCGGCTCAAGTTTGTGGTTGGAGGATGTGGGAAAGACTGCATGGGGGCATCCCCAACCTTGCGAAGTACATCTTGGTACTGGACTGCTGGAAAAGATTGTTGTTGTAGATTAACTTGATCATTTATTTGTCCATTATTATATTTACAGGCTCCATGTTGAACAACTCCATTATACACCGTTGATGCGATGGTATGGATATTGAAAAAAATATCACGAGTAAAGTGTACGGGCAGTCCTTAAACTTGTAGTGGTGTGTCATCTAGATCCCTAAACTCTCAAAATACATATTCAAGTCCTAGAACTTATCATAGTGTGTTATCTAAGTCCCAAATCGCCACAACCCCTTCAGGATCCTGCGTGGCGTTGATGTGGCATGCCACACGGAATGATGTGGCATCGTTTTGACTGACAAATGGATTCCATTTAAAATTTTTTCTTTTTCTTTTTTTTCTTCTCTCTTTTTCCCTTTCTTCTCCTTTCTCTATGACCGGAGCAGAAGAAAGGAAAAAAAGAAGAATGAGAAGAAAAAGAAAAAGAAGAAAAGAAGAAAAAAAGAAAATGACATGTCACGTCCATGTGGCATGCCACATCAGCGCCACGTAGGATCCTAAAGGGGTTGTGTCGATTTAGGACCTATATGATACACTTTGACAAGTTATGAGACCTGAATATGCATTTTAAGAGTTTAGGGACATATATGACACAACCCTACAGGTTTAAAGTACCGCAAATGATATCATTATACATGGCCCTTTTATTTATTGGATCACACAAGGACCGAGCAAGTCTTACATCCTCAATAACAGCTTGGATTTGTAACTGGAAATAGTTATTATTCTTGTTAAAAGATGGTTGAGGAAGTTCAATTCCAGGCCTTAATAAATTTATATATTCCTATAAATTTCTATCATTCCAAAGGATCCATCAATGTTGCAATTTTTTTCTTTTACTGCCATGAACAAGCCACGGCCTATTTATTTTAATTTCTTTAATAGGTTGAGTTCTTTTTATTATTTTCTAAAAACTTTCATAGAATATATACATTTGTGCCAAATATAAAAACTTTAAGGTCGGACATAAATATTAAGGAATTATTTGAGATATTGTGATTGGTTGAGAACTATACGGAGAAGCTAAATTAGTTGAGAAGATAATATATATGAAGAAATCATATTCAATGCTATATTTTGGGTACGTTTCGGTTTCGTTGGAATGGCTCCAAAATCTTCCCGGTATTTCGTCGAGCACCTGCTCTGCTACCGTCTTCTCCGTCAACATCGCGCGCCGGCGCCGCCCACCTCAGCTCCAACTCCTCCACAACTGGCCAATGCAACGCCGCCATCGGGGGCCGCCTCGACTCCGGATTCCCCGCGGCGGCCGTATCCACCTTCGCCGCGATGCTCCGCGCCGGCGCACGCCCGGACGGCTACACGCTCCCGCTCCTCAACCGCGCCGCAGCCTCCCTCCCCGCCAGCCGCGGCGAGGCCGAGCTCGTCGGCGCCGCCCACGCCGTCGGCGTCAGGGCGGAGTTCGCCGCCAACGTCTACTTCTGCAACACGCTGGTGGATGCCTACGCGCGGCGCGGGGATGGTCGCGTGCGCCAGGAAGCTGTTCGACGAAATGCCCACGCGCGACGTGGTTTCTTGGACGTCGCTGGTCTCTTCGCATGCCGGTGTCTGGGACGTCCGGGAGGTGTCCCGGGTGTTGTACTACATGCGGCTGGACGGCTGCCAGCCAAGCGCCGTGACTCTCGCCGTGGTGCTCCGCGTGTGCACGGCCAAATAGAACGTCGGCGGCGGGGGGCAGCTGCACTGCTACGCGGTGAAGATCTTGACGCACTTGTGCAGGATGGCAGCCTCGGACGACGCGGTGGCGCTGTTCCAGCAGTCTCCGAGAAGAGATGCAATTTCTTGGAACATTATGATCTCAGAGTATTCTTCGGAAGGGAACATTTCCAAAGTTGCCGAAATGTATCAAAGGATGAGAAGAGAGGAGGTGTGTCCTAGCTGCCAGACCTTAACCACAGTAGTTGCTGCATTCGCCAAGTGCAAGTGTCTCCGAGAAGGTGAGAAACTGCATTCTTTCGCTTTTAGGAGCTGTCTCAGCGATGCAATTTTGGTGGAGTCCTTTGTTGATTTTTATGCCAAAATGCGACAGATTAGATTGATCAGTTCAGTCATTTGAAGAATTCAGCGACACAGGCAGTTGCATATGGTCAGCCATGAATTGGAGCTTTATTTGCTGTTGGCAGTTTATAGAAGTAATACATTTGTTTGGGCGAATGTTAAATTCTACATTTGTTCCAGTGCGTTGAGCTGCAAGGATTAGTCATCAGTTACAGAGAACTTGGTGCACTACGGCTAGGTAAAGCAACTCATGGGTACATGATAAGAAACAATTATGAAGCACAATCTGAAAAGAGCGCCTTGGTGACATCCATCATTAAACTCTATGCTAGGCTGCTAGCTGTGGGAGCATTAATTTGGCACGAAGGTGCTTTGACAGCATCCATCAGAAAGATATTGTTGCCTGGAGTTCAATTATTGAAGCATACACGATCCATGGCTATGGTATGGAGGCTCTGGAAATCTGGCATTGTTCCACATGATGCTAGACGAAGGAGGAAGGCCAAATGGGGTGACTTTCCTGAGCTTGTTGTCAGCATGTAGTCACTCCGGGCTTGTTAATGAAGTTCAAGAGTTTTTTGATTGCATGACAAGAACGTTTGGCATCACACCTGAGCTTGGCCATCACACCTGCATGGTGGATGTTCTTGGACGATCAGGCAACCTAGATGATGCTTTGCAAGTTATCAGTGATATGAATGTTAAGCCAGATGGGAGAATTTGGGGTGCTCTCCTTGCTTCATGCAGGACATACTCGAACAGTAAGCTTGCTTCTTATGTGGCTCAGAAACTTATGAAATTGGAACCAGGTAATGTTGGCTACCATGTGGTGTTCAGCAATACCCAAGCTAGTAGTGATCAGTGGGATGAAGTTGAAAGCATTAGAAGCTCTATGGTAGAGATGGACCTGCAAAAGCTGCCTGCATGGACTTGTGTTGCTGAGACTGGTAGCCCTTGATTTGTATATTCCATCTCTTCCCAAAACTTATGTTGATTTGGTCAGAAAATGACCAAAAGATTTGTGGAAGTTGCTGTATGACTATATTGGACTGAACTGTATCAACTGTTGATCTTTCAGGGTGTGAGATTGAAGTTTCTATTGATGGGCCCTGTAGCCAGTGCACTGTTCTTTGGAGCCGATCACCTCGTGACCGCCGCTGTCAATGGGGGTTGTTCGTGGCAGGCAGAGTTCAGCTGCTTGCTCGAGGGTCAAATCGGTCGGATTGGATGGGATGCGAATATCTGGCATTACTGGCCGTGAAGTTCTCAGGTGGGATTTCCTTCCATTGCTTCGTTCTCTGTAATCTTTACTTATGCCATGACTTCACTTGTGTGGATTGATCTTTAACAAACTGCATAGCTATTGCCTTTTTCTGATCTGAATATTGATCCCATGTTCTTCAGTTTTGTCAGATTTCAGAATTTATAAGTTCCAAGTGGCATACAAATAGAAAAATAGACAGTTCAATATAATTCCCGTAGATTTAAACTCCCAACAAATGGAAATGGAATCCGTCTGTTAAAATTCTATGCATCCAAATGGGGGCAGGAAGGAATCAGAAATCAGAAACAGGCTATGGTAAAAAAATTATCCCCAGTCATCATCAGTAAAGTAAAATATGAGAAACAAACCGATGTCCTACCAGATCAAAGTGATGCTTAAAGCCATGATTAAAGTAGCTTAAATGCTCCTTTCCTGACATAGCAGTGACTTCAATGCATAAAGTGTAAAGATTGGCGAGCTGTTTCAATCATCTACATGTCCAGCAAATATAATGTAATCAGCTACTTGTTCTTCAAATAATATCTAGTCTGATGCCTGTCTCCACTTGTAGATGACATTGCAGTGACTTCAACGCGTGAAGTATAAACATTGCTGACCTGTTTCAATCATCTACATTTCCAGCAAATAATATCGCCCACAGTTTGTCTTACAAATACTGTTTGTCAAATAGTGTATGATCCCAAAAGTAATACCATCCACGGTTTGTCTTAAAAATCCTGCAGCTCACAAGCTCTGAAACTGGTTAATAGAAGGCGGAAACACAAACGGGCTCACTAGAAGGCGCTCAATGGTTCTTTTGCGCCTGTTCTCATTCTTAATCCCATCTGGAGCTGTAGAACCATCAGGATGTGAAGAAACACGATGAGCAACAGAGTGGGTATTTCAGCATCACTCCTAGTAAGTAGATTTCGGTGTTACAGTAAAATTTATGTCGGATACACTTCAGAGTTGGTTTTTGTAGCCTTCTGTTGACCTGCTATGATCCACTTTTTTCTTACCTGTCTGCACAAGATTTTGATTACTGGAAATGCTTTGGCGATATTGGTTTTCCTCTATTTGATAAGAGACCATGATCTTGTGCCTCTAGTTGGTCATTCTGACTCTAAAGCTATTTCACCTTTTGGACCAAACAGAGGATTTTATTTTATATTTCCCCTGCTATTATTTTTTAAAAAAACATTAACAATAATAGTATCACATATATTGTAATTTAACATGATTGAACTATTATCTTGTATTTGTGTTTTTTTATGTTCTTCACTAATGAATTAGTTCACAGTACCATCAACTTTTGTTTTTGTATGCTAGGACTGAAGCTGATGTGTAGCTATTGCTAGTGCTTTGTGTTCTTAACTAAAAGCAAACATCATCATCGTTGCTATCTATATAATAACCAGATAGAATAAATGGCTGAGTCCGTGCTCCTTATCGCACTCGGCAAAATCACGGCTGCACTGGGTGCAGATGTTCTGCAGCAAATTCGGAACCTCTTGCCAACAGAAGTGTCGCTATTTGGGCAGCTCACTGGGCGCATGAACCGGATCAAAAAAGAGTTGTTTGTGATTCATGCATTCCTGTCACAGGCCGACTTGCAGGGTGTTCAGACCAGAACAGTTGAAGCATGGGTGGATGCTGTTAGGAAGGTTGCCTTGGATGTTGAAGACGTAATTGATGAGTACGTTCATCTATTAGGCCAGCAAAAGTGTGGATGGTTCACTTCAGTCAAAGGAAAATTTGGAAGATCTCAACACCTTTGTTTGTGGCTTCAAATTGTTGAACGGCTGAAGGAGATTGAGAGAGACCTTTGGCACATCTCGGAGATGAAAGACAGATGGATTCATACCAGTACTGAGCTATTGGGCAGAGGCAATTTGGATGGTGACTATCATTGTGCCCTTCCATATTCACCTCAGTGTGGTTACTTCATTAATTCAGATGATATGATTGGGTTTGGTAACTACAAAATGTTGTTGATCAATTGGTTAGCACAAAAAGATTCGAGTACTTCGGTAATGGTTATTTTGGGAATGGGGGGAATAGGCAAGACCACACTTGCTTCAAATGTTTATGAGACTGAAAAGAGTAGGTATGATTGTAGTGCCTGGATAGCTACATCCCAGGTATATAACATTTGCTCTTTGTTGAGAACGACAATCAGACATTGTTTCAAGAACACAAAAGAAATCCCACCTAATGTTGACATAATGGATCAACACAGCCTCATTGTTGAACTTCGAGAATTCTTAAAAGGACGAAGCTGCTTGGTTGTTATTGATGATGTCTGGGATCATGTATGTATTGGTACTATTCTCAAGGCGTTTTCTCACAATGAGCACAGAAACAAAATTATCATAACCACTAGGGAAATTCAGATAGCAAAGTTTGTGGATCAAAGCTATATGATTCAAATGGAAAAATTAGAGGAGAGTGAAGCATGGGACCTTTTCTGCAGAAAGGCTTTCCTAAATGAGAAAGAAAAGTCATGTCCTGAAGAGTTAGTCGGTATTGCAAAGGATATTATGAAGTGGTGTTGTGGTCTACAATTAGCCCTAGTTACTATGGGTGGACTCCTGTCCCTGAGAGAAAAAAACAATAGCGAATGGAAACGTGTCTACAACAACTTGCTTTGCAGTTTTGACAATGATCCAGGCCTTAATCATTTGAAACATGTGCTCAACCTTAGCTACCGTTATCTACCAGAATATCTCAAAGATTGCTTTCTGTTCTGCAGCATATTCCTAGAGAACAGTATGATCAAGCGGAAGCACCTGATAAGACTTTGGATTGCAGAAGGCTTTGTGGAGGACAGGGCAGGAACTACGATGGAAGAGCTAGCGCATGATTACTTATCAGAACTCATTCGTCGAGGAATGTTGCAGGTCATGAAGAGGAACGAGAATGGCAGGGTGAAGCACTGTCGGATGCATTGCATCGTACGAGAGGTCACAATCTCGCTATGCAAATCGAGGGGTTTCCACATGATATGGGGCAACAAAGAATCAACATCTGCATATGAGGCACGTCGTTTTGCTATACATGGAATTAATCAGTCCAGTTCCGAAATCCTAACTGATCTACCACATGTACGCACATTCCTTTCGTTTGATGTCACAATGTCTGACACCTTGCTGTCAAGAATAGTATGCAGCTCTAGATATTTGACAGTGTTAGATGTATCAGGGGCATTATTTATCAAGGAAGTTCCGAAACAAGTTGTATCTCTCTTCAACCTGCGTTACTTAGGCTTACGTAGGACTAAGGTGAAGAAGCTTCCTAGTTCTTTGGGAAGGCTTGCAAATCTACAAACACTGGATCTTCATCACAGTTGCATAAGTAGACTGCCCAGTGGAATAACCAAACTAGAAAAGCTTCGACATTTGTTTGTCGAGACAGTGAAGGACTCCAGTTTTCAAAGTCTGAATGCTTGTAGCGGTGTTGGTGCTCCTAGCGGTATATGCAAGCTTAAGTCTTTGCAGACATTGTTCACAATAGAGGCAAGCAAGTGTTTTGTGCAACAGGCAAACAAACTGGTTCAGCTAAAAAGCTTCCGGATCACAAAAGTTAGAGGATCTCATTGCTCAGTGCTGTCTGAGTCAATCAAAAGAATGAAGCAGTTGGTGTACTTAGATATCTTAGCTAGTGACGAGGAGGAAATACTTGACCTGGACATCAGTCCACCGCCAAGCACCCTTGAGAAGCTTTGCCTGAGGGGAAAACTGAATGATTCTAATCTGCACTCTTTCTTCAATTCCTTTTGCAACAATCTCACATGTCTTTTTCTTGGTTGGAGTAGTCTAAGCAGAGACCCCCTCCCATTGTTGTCCCAGATGACAAATCTTGCATTCCTCTGGCTCCAACGGGCATTCGATGGCCCGCAGTTGAGGTTTGTTCTGGGATGGTTCCCAAGATTGAGAAGGCTGCATCTGAAAGACATGGACCATCTTCATTCTTTGGAGATTGAAGAAGGTTCAGTGGTCAGTTTGGAGGTGCTGGAGATGACTGGTCTTAATGAGTTGAATGATATTCCCGGAGGTATTTTCTTTCTGAACAATCTTCAAGAGGTGTACCTCGATTCAATGCACAAGGACTTCATTAACCACCAGAGCGAGGGTGAAAATGTTGAAGATTTCCCAAGATTCATCTACGGCCACAGCCCCAACTTTTGGAGAGGGGAAGATGTGGCATATTGTCACCAATACACATAGAGTTCTTCATCCAAATTTCCACAAACTAGTTCAGACAAGAAACAACCGGTGAGTTTTTACCGCATGATGATGCTATTATTTTTCATATTCTAACAAGGGTAACACAATCGGGTTACAATGATACACAGTTCCACAAACGTACCTAAACAACTGATTCAATCAGAACTTCAGAAGAGGTAAATGGAGAAAATATAGCAGATAGAATAGAATGAGAGAAAGAACCAGCCATTTCCCTCTCTCTCAGAGTATGTTAGTTATACACGACAAAGAAGCTGTTCTATATACACCAGTGCAATACTTAGAATTCGTCCAGTTGGTTTACTCGTTTTAAATTTCAAGAACATCCCCTGAAGCTGAGATATTTATTTCAATTTTTAGAATTATTAAACCACTTCAAACAATTCTAAAAAAAATCAGTTCTAAAATGGAGGATTTAGAAACTACACAAGTTTGCTCTGTAGTGAAATGAAACTAATTTATCCCTCAGATTTTTATTTTATTTTTCAAACACAGTGTTTACTGGCCAATATAATTATATTTCATTTCAATTGTACAAAATTTGTATAGGTTAGAAATACTACCTAGCGCAAGTGATAATTTGTTTCAACTTGTTTGAAATCATTTATTGATTTTATGAAATTTGGAAAGTAGTCCAGACTTTTATTCTGGATACGTCCAAGGTTGAAAGGTTTTTTTGACTTCCGTGAGGTGGAATTTCAAGGTTATGACATAATTAATTTTCCTATTTTTCCAAATATATTGACTGTGGTTTTGATGTGACCTAAGTTACAGAATTTTCCTAGAGGCACAAACGAGAAAAAAATAGTCTAAATCTACACTAATTCAGTCCACACAATGGTCTACCAGACTACCTTTAACGGTCAACACTGCACTACACCAGTGACATTTGACAATGATACAGCTAGTGCACACAGACAGCTATTACAATCGAACCGGTGATCGAACTGTTAGGACACTTGTTCACTGGCTCATTGGTTAAACCGATCAAACAACCGGTTTAAAGCAGTTCAAATAGATGTGTGTTACAGTAGACTCTGTGGAAACAAGGAGGTTTGGGTTCGACTCCTTCAGTTCAGCAGCTTTTTCCTATATTCTCTAACTCCACGTGACGCCCATGCACACTGCAGCTTCTGCTCCTCCAGCGGTCGAACCACCTCCGGTCCAGTTCAATTGGTTTTCACCAGATCGGCCGATGCTGTTCTAATAACTAAGCACACAGACTGATGCTTCCTACTTTAACAATTTTATTTTTCATGTTTGTATTCTTCAAAAGTTGATGTGAAATGCCGTTTCTTTTTATGTGATAGAAGTGAAAACCCTTGTATATAAAATCTATTTGATATAGACAATTGAGATTAAAGGCCTCCATACCCTAACCCCGATCGAGGGATAGTTTGAGCACCAGATAGCAGAAAGGAGATGAACCTCCTCTCTTCAATAGAAATAGCAATGCTCCCACTAATTCTCGTGGCTTTACTACAGACACCTCTGGCAACTGCATCTGTGAGAAGGCAAGGGTCAATCACAGCCTCCCGTCCATGGCGATGCTTGTGCCAGCTGCCCCAAGAGTTGCGGGAACCTGAGCATCCACTACCCATTTGGCATCGGAGCAGGCTGTTCTGGCAGCCCGACTTATCTTACCTGCGACCACTGCTGGAGATGCATCGGAGAAAGAGGCATTAGTGTTGGTTGGTAACCCTTTTTTTAGTCCTGTTGTGTAATCGGTATTTTTAGTCCTAATTATACAATGTAGAATTAAAAACTATCTTTAATACCGGTTGGTGTTATTAACCGGTACTAAAGATAATTTTTTATTTTTTTTACTGATGGTTGTTTGCTGTACATATATGTATGTATGTATGTACTCCCTTTGTTTCATATTATAAGACTTTTTCTAGCATTGCATATATTTATATGATGTTAATTATTCTAGATATATATAAATTTATTAACATATATATAAATGTGAATAATGTTATAAAGTATTATATAATATGAAAGTATGTATGTATGTAGATAGGTACATACATATATCTGCATCCATGTTCTTCATTCTCTCCATGACCGGGTGGTGTTCGTCGACTCTTCTTATCTTGGTCAACGCCTCGCCACCGGACGGGCCCTCACCCTCCATGCGCCCGTCGCTGGCGGCGTCGCTGCTCCCGCCGCCGTAGCAGGAAATCCGGCGACGTCCAGAGGAGGCGCCACGATTGACGCTGCTGGTCGGTCGGCTGTGTCACAGCAAGTGCAGCTAGCTAGCTAGCGTCCGATGATTTTCCTTTAGAGATCAACAGAAGACACAGAGGTATGTTTGTGGTTGCTCTCATCATCGCCCGTGGCAAACATACGCGCGCGTCTGAATACATGAGAAGCTAGCATATGCATGCCATGGCGATCGAGCTCGCGTCAGATTGCATCGAGGAAGAAGAGGAAGCCGCGGCAGCCCACACTGCCTCGTCTTCTCACCCGCCACTGCGCCGCCCCTCCACATGCTGACCGCCGCCGCGGCCCCAGCAGCGCCGGCGAGGTCGTCGCAGCGTCGTCAAAGGTTTGGATATGGCCATGAGCCCATGAGCTTGTCTTTTTTGCCCGGAATGACCGCAATGTAATTAAGATAGGTAATGTAATTAAGATAGGAAGAAAAATGTTATAAGAAAAGTTTTACATCGATAACTGGCTATCGAGGAAGGATATGCACCAGAGCACACGCCCCGAACCATGTGTCAACCGCCCAAACACACGCTACCGAGAGGGAAACCAATCACCGAATCGGCCATCGCTATGCGAGACCGACCGCCACCAGGCCAACAACACCACCACGACACGAAGACTCAAAAACGACGCCCTCACGAGGGTTGCGACGCCGAAAGATACCGTCGTCATCCGTCCAAAGAACTGGACTAGGTTTTCACCCAGAGATCCTTGCCAAGAGAGGAGGGGTATCTCAACAATGCCCTCAGTAGGGTTACCACGACCGAAGGCGTAGTCACTGTTGGCCCAAAGAAATTGGGCTAAGCTTTCACTCGGAACCCCTACCGCCGTGGTCTGTTGCCCAATCCGAATCCACCATCTAAACATCGGTGGCACATGGCTTCCGCCACACCCGACCGACACCTCTCCGCCGGCCAACTTCTAGTCCTGCCAACAACAAGACTGCCACCACACCACACCGACGCCCCGCCGTCGGCCAACTTCATCGAACCACCATCCCTGAAAGCTGGCCTACGACCCCTCTGTTCCACCACCTGCCGGCGGCCTCCTCGCCAAATATGGCCAAAGGAGAACACGGGACTAGGTGGCGTTGCTTCGGCAGCCTGAGCTTCCCCCGCTGATAAGCTGCCGCCTCAATCCAGCCTAAAAACTTCCCACAAAGAAGGGGGGAGGAGCTCTAGGGTGAGGGTGCCGATCGGCAACGAGGAAGACGACCCACCGCCACCAGCTCCCTTTGCACTACCATCTAGGCCTGCACCGACATCGGAAACGCGGTCGCTCTGGCTCCGGCGCCACCCGCCAGCGCCCCCTTTGTCCGACCTCCTTGCCCCACCTAGCGCGCCGCGCCGCCCACCTGGCCGCACCTCCAGGCCAGCCGCACGCCTTGCTCGGCCAAGCCTCATGCGCGTGCAAGCCTCTGCTGCGGCTGCCACCGCGGCCTCCGCGAGCACCGGCCTCCGCTGTCACCACCACCGCAGCCAGCCGCCACCGTGTCCTCCACGTGCGCCGGCCTCCTTCGCCGGCTGCCGCCAGCTGCCAGACGCCGCCACCTCCACCTCCCGTCGTCGCCACCCGAGAACGGCTTACTCCGGCGTGGAGTCGCCAGATCCACCCGCGGAGAGGCCGGATCTGGCCGCGGCGGCGCCGGATCCGCCACCTCCATGCCACGTCTTCAACCTCCGCTCCGCGCACCGGCCTGCCTTCCACGCGCAGAGACAGGGCGCCGTTGAGGTTTGGCCTCGCCACCGCCATCCTGGCTGGCCGCTCGGTTCTTCAGCGGCGCGCTCCGGTGGCAGCGAGGGGAGGGAGAGGAGGAGAGAGTGGCGGTGGCGGCGCTATGTTTTCCCCAGAGTCGCCCGCGCGTGGGCGACGTGGGGGCAACGCGTGGGTTCGGACTTCTCAGCGATGAGCTTGTCTCAGCGCCATCGCCATTTTTTTTCCTCTATATTTTTTTCAAGAGCTATTTGGATTTTCCTTTGCTGCAGTTTGGGGAGAAGATAACGGAAAGTGTGACGGCGATGTATGGTTCCAAATTGAATAATAATGATATTTTTTAATTTGATATATTTGCAATGATATATATATAGATCAAATTAACCCAAAGATATATGAGGGTGATTACTTCTGCAAGAAGCTACCGAGGCAGAAATTAGCAATGTTGGCTGTAACAACATGAATTTTCAAATTTAAAAATCGGAATAAAATTTTTAAATAATCAAAAATCTTTTTTCAAATTACCTCCATGCTAGAATTTCTTTTCCTTTTTCCTGCTGTGCTAGTGCCAAAATAGAAAAATGGGAATCCAATTTAATTTCTAAATTCAATTATGGATTCAGAGTAATATTTAAAAAAGAACCATGATTGAAATATATAAATTAAGAAAATATTTGCAAATAAGAGCAGATAATAATTATTTTCCTAAACACCCCTTTTATGAATTAATATCCCTTTAATGGTTTATTTTGCAAATAAAACAAATATTAAATATTTGTGAAGATCCTTTTTAAAGATATTAATTCCATAAGGAATCACTTTACATGTAACCTCGGTTAATACTTATTTATCAAAACCCTACTTGTAAACTAAATCTTTCAGTTTTCTTTATCTCAAAAGGTTTTACAATAGAAGTTTAAATGAGGTCTCTAAAGTTTCTGCTTCTCCTATTCTCCCCTTCCCCTTCTAGCCCAGCCCAAGAGCCTTAAACCCTTAGCCTACCAATATGTCTATTTCTGCTACCTCCACTTTTCGGTCCCCCCTTCTTCCTCTGTCGGCCCAGCGGCCTCAAACCGCGGGAGCCAGCCAAGTCGAGCCAAGGCGCCGCCGCCGCCGCCTGGCTCAATCTCCGCGCTCGACAGAGCTCGGCCTCCGTCGTCCTTGTGCCGCACCTGAGCCACCGAAGCCTCCGCTGCCGCCCTCTCCGGCGAACCAGCCGCCACCTTCCGCCCCTCCCGCCGTGCCTCGACGCTGCCAAAAATCGCCAAGCTGCGCTGTGCCAAACCCTTGCCGCTGAGCTGCTCAGCCCGGGTGCATGCAAGGTGCTCGACACGGTGCCGCACCGCACGTGCCCAGCCACCATCAACCCGAACCCTGTCGCCCGCCGCCTTGCCGTGGTCGTCGCCCGGTGTGCCACTGCCGGCCGCTTACCAGCTGCCGCTCGGTGAGAACTTGGTCGTCCTCCCCTCTCCTCATCCCTCGCGTGCCGCGTTCCTATGTTGTCGCAGCCCGCAAGATCGTCGGCGCCGCCGCACTCGGCATGCTGCCGCGCGCGCTTTTGTCGCCGGTGGCCGCGCTCCTCCAGTCACGCCAAGCGGGGGAAACGCTTCCCCTAGCACCGACGAAGCCTCCCAGAGACTCAAAACGCCCAGTTGTTGCCTCGGCCCAGACCAATTTCGCTAGCGACTCGAGCTCCGCCGCCACAGGCAGCTATGGCCACCGGGAACCCCGTGAGCGCCGCTGTGTTTAGCCACCTTGGAACCCACCGTCGCACTCCTAGGCACCCCACAAGCCGCCGCCGGCCTCCTTTCCGTCGAGCAATTGCCGCTTCACTGGTGCACCCCCATAAACCTGAAGCCTAGCCGCCGCCTAGACCACCGCCTCCCATCGCTCCAGGCCACCTCAGCCGGTGTGCTGCCGTCCATAGGTGGCCGTGGTCCCGGCTGGCCCCCTATCGTCGCTCGCCCCGGCCGTGTCCCGGACCGGGCAGCCGCCGCGCAGGCCAACCCTAGTGCCGGCGCCGGCCTGCGCTCGGGACAGTGAAGGGAGGAAGAAGAGAAGCAGAGAAAGGGAAGAGTGAGAGACCGACAGTGAGCCCAACCCGCTAGTTTAAAATCTGTGTCACTGACGTGCAGGCCACCCCTTGATTAAAATCAGTTCTAAAACCTTATTTAAAGTTCATATGTGTGCCCATGGCCATGAAATGGTCAGATTGACCAGGTCAAGGTTGACTATGGCCCCACCTGTCATTGACTCACTGTATTCCTTTACAAAAATAATTGTTTTACTAAAGAAAAGGTTGTGGGACCTGACTGTTAGTGACAGAAGGAATTTTTCCTATACAAAATAATTCCAAATTTTGATTAAATGGCTGAATAGGAGGTTTTGCAATTAATTTGATTTAATTCAAATTGGAATCTTTGAAAGGCCATAACTCACTCGTTTTAAATCAGATTTCAACGAGACTTTTACCAAAATTCCTCTAAAATCAAGACCTATCCAATGGCACTGGTTTTGCATTTTTTCCCCTTTTCTAAGATTTTGCCCTCTGCGTTGGGCTAGGGGAGCCGGCCATTGACCCATCATTCGCCGAGCAAATTACATTTGTGAAGAAGAAATCACAGCAGTTGACGAGGAGCCATTGACTGAGCAAGGCAAGTCACTACACTCCCCTCCTTGAGCACGTTGATCCTAGTTTTATAAATATGTTGATTACAAATAAAATTGCATGTTAATTATATAATATATACCTAAACTTTATTGTAAGCCATCCTTGAAATTGTTATCCATATTCCTTACTGCCTGAGTCTATTATTTATAGGATCGTAAAGGGCCTTTTCCACCCCAAAAGCTAGCCATTAAAGTGAGGGGCTCCCCCACTTATATCTTAAGTCCTTTGCCCTTCCACAACCAATGTGAGACTATTCAACAATCTCCCCCTTCACACATTGGTG